AGACCATAAAAACAGGTTGCACAAGAAATCCTCTCAGATGGATTGAATATTCTGCTAAACTTGCAACAGCTCATTTGCAATAAAGCTTTCTATGGCCAGAGTCAGGAAACACAATTTAAAATAGTCCATGTGTATTTATTTTAGAGTATTTTTACCTTATGTAACGTGCACACTCAACCTCTGTTAAATTGATATATTTCTTCAAAGAGAATTTCTAAGAAAGCAACCACAGTGCCTTTCAACCTAGGTGCAAAGATACCAGAGAACAACTCTTGAAATGAGCTCACATTCCTGTCCAAGGAGAGAGCATGGTTTGTTTGTCCTTACAATAAGAAAAGATATATATTATGTGTTGCCTACAAACTTGTAGGATGAGTCAGAAGAGGGGTTCTTGACATCCTTGATGAACAGGATAAACTGTGCTTTCCTTCAGACCTGTTCCACCACATATTCTCCACTTGAATTCATGTGTAGCAACCCACAACAAAGGCTGTAGAGTGCCAGGGCTCTCAACCTCACACTGTCACTTGCTTATGAATGGTGTGTTCATGAAAAGAGGACTAATTCAGCACCACCCTGGGAAAAGAAAAGAAATGTGCCCCTTGGATATTCTTTGATAAAAATACAGTATTTATTCAAAGATAGGCTCTTTGGGAAGAGACTAAGATTTCTCTAAATTAAAATGAATATATTTGATTTGCATCAACTTGTTGGAAATTTTGTTATTTTTGTTTTGTATTTACTCTGCCGGAACTTTAAAATACTTAACAGGCTTATGTTTCAGGATTCAACATATGGCTACATTTTCAATATTTTAAGGACAAATTTATCCAGAAAATAAAATGAATAGCCAGAGAAAATTTTAAGGAAAGAAAATGTCATTTTAAATAGAAAGAGACTAAAACTGGAAAGATTTAAAGAATATTTGTGTGAAAAGCACATTGTTAATGGGAGAATACAGCACAGTCTGTGTACTTGCCTTTATCACTTCAACAATTTCCTTATTGAAGATTATAAGGTGATTGTAATGTCCAGGAAAAGCCTAATATCCAAGATTTTCCATGGTGTGCTCTTGGTCTCTTAATATAAGCTAGATAAACATATCTAAGTTTCATTTTTGCAGTCCTGAAGTAACTACCAAAATGTCTTTGAAATGACAGCCTTAAACTTTCTTATACTCTTGCATTTGTGTTATGAAGGAATTTTCAAAAGAGGAAGATGGTTTTCAATAGTGGAACCCTGAAGTATTCTAGCTTGTCAAAAAAGGCCGTAAAATATAGCTCAATGACTACAAAGCATTATCACAATGGTACATGAATTGTAAATTTATGTAAGCCACAGAATTTTATACCAGCCCACAGAACTTCTGGGTCCCAATGTTACTTTAAAAAAAAAATACCATCTAGAGAATTATGTACCAGCTGAGAAATATCTTGTATTAGTAATTTTGTCTGGAGAATTTATTGTGGATATATAAAGGTATCTTCTAGGAAGTACATGAAAGAAGCATACTTCTTAAGTGTTCTGAATTGTTACTGTAGTTAACTGGTATTTTTTTTCCCCTCTTAATTGATTTGTACTGAATTAGCTAGTCGTTTAACCACATTAGATTTCTATAGAACTTTCTGATTAAACGACAGGAGATCAGCTAATACAATATAAAAAGGTTTAAAGTACTCAAGGTTTCATTTTTTTCCCAGAAAAACTGAGACTGCTGGCAATACAAAGCCTCTTAGAAAATCTGCCACTGCACGTGGTAGGTCTGGGAGTGTGGTGGCAGAGTGACAAAACAGGAAGTCATGTGTGCTCATGGTGTGTAGGTGCAATTAACTTAGTCCCTTTACAGTGATTCATAACCACATTCTGATGATGACCACATCATCTGATGTCATTTCTAAACAACACAAAGAAGGGAGTGAAAAGGAAACAAGAGGAGAAGGTGGGGAAAAATAAACCAAAGGAAAGGGGGAAGGGAGAAAACAATGAGGTGAAGAAAGACATGAAGGAGGGAGAGACAGGAAGAAAGGGATGAGGAAGGAGACAAGAGGAAGGAAGGATTTCAACATCCATGTAGTTCTTGACATTTGGCTTTGAGATTTTAGAATTGCATCCATTCTTTGAAGTAGAAAAAATATCTTTCTTTTGTAGCTATACTGCTTTGATTTACAAATAATGGCTTTCTTATTCCATGCTAACATTAAATTCAACTTAACAACAGGATCCTGCTTCTTACAGATTAAAAAGTTGGATTTATAAAAAGGCATAGATCTTATCTTCTGCTTTCAGATCTTTTTTTCCCCTCTAGATCAAGTGTAAACGACATCAAAATAAAATAAGAGATAAATATAACTTTGAAATTTTCACAAAAATCATTTACAATTATTTTATCACTTTAAAATGAAAATAATTTAGAACCATACATTACACACAAGTAAAATAAACATTTTTTATTTATTTTTTTGATCTTCATACAAGGAAAGAAAATTAAATCACTGTTCACTGTATGGATGGTATTTACAACATATGCCTGCACTTTTACATCTTTTCATAATTGAGAGTATAAAATCTCACATATAAATTATTAAAAATCATTTAAGTTTACACAATTCATAGCTAAAGTTAATTCATTGATTACTGCCTGTCTTTCACATTGTCCCTTGCTATTCTTTGAAAAAGCAAGCAATTTTGTGATGTTAAATGACCCCGATTAAAAAAGGGTATATACCAGAGGCCATAATAATCTGAGAATGATACTCACAAGATAGATTTTTTGTTGTTGTTGTTTTACGTTTTTATTTTTAAAACAATATGCTGAACAAAATTAAAATTTTTTTTTTTGTTTCACAATAACTTGAATGCATTCCTTAGTAAAACTGCTTGCCATTTAATGTATTTAAAAAATAAATATTTGAAAAGTGTATCCACAATGTTCCTAAGAAATGGTTTTGAATTCCAGAGTCCCAAGGAGATGAATTGGCTGTCAGATAACAATGTGCTTCCATCAGATGGACTTGGCAGTTGTAAACAAAAGGAATTTTTCTCAGCTTTTCCTCACAAATATGAAATATTTGCTCTCAGCCAACAGCTGGGGTGATTTAAAGAAGTCCTGCATATATATTAGTTTTCATTCAAAATTACAAATTCTCCTCCCACTCTGAAACATCTGACTTAGTCTTAGTAGAACAGAAAATTGTTCTGAGATGAAGTGACATTCCCAGAGGAAGGCAAAGTCAAAAAATAGTACCACTTACAACTCTAATCAAATTTCAGATCATATAGCATCTGGTTAATAATTTTTAGGAAAAGTTAATTTAGTCAAGATGAAAGTTCAAATGATATTTGGAAGTGGCTTGAAAAATAACCAGAAAGTGTGTTTTCTTCTAGTCTTTCTTAAAATATTTACACAATATAACCAAAGTAGAGGCTGCAGGAAAAACCATTAAGACTCCTTCTATGATTCAAAAATTGTTTAAAAACCAAGATATAGATACTTCTTTGTGACTGCTAGAAGTTATTCTTGCAAAACTGTATATATATATATATATATATATATATATTAAATATTATATATATATAAAATTATGAAATTTTCTATTCATTTAAATGATTATATCAATATTTTAAAAATAGATGGATTAAAGATAAATTTGTGAGTTAGTCACAAAGCCTATGAATGCTTCTGAAGAACATCAAATAATAAATAATTTCAGAATAATTTTATGTATTTAGACATAGGTTATGAATTTATGAACTTTACTATGAATTCAACCAAATATTTATCTTGTTTTTACTTTCCCCCAAAACTAGCTCAAAGTAGTGTTTTAAATTTATTTTGAACTCTACAATTATATTCCCCATATTTCAATATTTATCATGGCCAAGTTTTATAATAAATATAGTACATATTTCTTTGTTTTACTTAAAGTCATAAAAATGAAATCTATGCATTTATAAATATCTCAGAAGATGATGAGTCATTTTTCAACTTATGGACAATTACACAGAATTAACTTCTGCCTTTGGGCCTAGTGAATACGACTGTGTGTTCTGCTTAAAGTGAATATATTTTGTTATTTGAAATAGGAGAGTTATTTGTATATAAAGTGACTATTAAATCAGATGTGAAAACTGTTAAATAATTGTTACTACTTTTAGTAAATCTGTTACTTGTCCTAAGAATACAAACCTACTAAAGTGGAATAATCAAGATCTATGAGACATGAAATCACATTTCAAACTACAAAGTCTGTAATTTTTTTCTATTTCAGATAGAGGTTTTGTCTGATGTAAATATATACTGTGAATCTAAAAAATCCTCAAGTAATAAATATAAATCCATTAAGAATTTGTGTCTAAAAATAGATTTTAATTTGAAGGTTACATTTAATTTTGGAAAAACAAAGGTCAATGTTAAATGACTACACATTGATAACAGATCTTACTTTGGTAATCTTTCTTATTTCCCAAAAGGAATATTTGAAAAGCTACTATAGCATAACAAAATAAAGCTGTGAATAACAATTATTAATAATGTTCACTCTAATGATAAAAAGTTAAATCATCATCAGAAAAAATATAATATCACTAATGACACACCAAGTAACATCATAGAAATTAAAATTACTATTAGAAAAACATCCCTTCCATATGTACTATTAATAGGAACAAAAGGTCCACCTCTCTTCCTGCATAGGCAAGCAAACAAATCAGATGAACAAATAAGAAAAACATGTATGTACATCTTTCAGTACCAAAGCAATGGTTACCAAGTATATAAACATCTCAGAAAAGTAAATTTGTGCTTTATTACAAATTAATATCCTATATCCAGAAACTCTACTTGTTGTAAATTTGTCTGAAAACCACTTACTCATCTCCCCCCCCCTTTTTTTGCAAGCTTTTTAAAGCTAAAACATGAGATCGAAGACATAAGCCTTGAAATTCAAGTGTTTGTAAAAATACAGTCATGTTGTCATGAGTTTGGAATTGAAAATACTTACAGTCTCTCTAGTTCTTTAAGATCCTGGAATGCTCCCCTTTCAATGGTGGTAATCTTGTTCTCCATGAGCTGACTGAAATGAAAAAAAAAAATGTAACATGCTTCTTAATGTTACCATCTAAGTCAATTTCAATTCAGTAACTGAACATTTATAACCTCTTTCTCTCTTTAAAGTTAGATTTTGCTCTGCTTTGAGAACTAGGAGCAAATTTAATGGTGATATATGTGAAAGAACTCATGGAGAAGAAAAAGCATCTACATCACAAAACTTTTACAGAAACATTAAAGCAGTTTCTCACTAAATTTACTATTCAAACTCTAAACCTTAAACATAACAAAAGAGCAGTGAAATTGCAGCTTTGATAGCTGTTTTTGGTACACTGATTTTCAACTGTGTTCTTAACTACAGTAATTCATCATACACATATTCACTTATGACTTATGGATACCCATCAGCAACCAAAATATTTCATAAGGGCCAAAATATGTTTTAAAAATTGAACACTGGGTATATAGAGGTCAAAAGCATATGACCTTTAAGACATAAATATATACAATCTTGTGGGAGAAAACAAGTTTATGTAGCATTGACTTTGAGTAATGGTTTATTCACAGCTAAATTAACCCACTAAGTAAAGAAGTAATCAGAGTGCAACTATTTTATGTAATCTACAATGATATTAAAGGTAAGGAAATTAACTGAAAATATAACTAATGATGCTTTTTTATAGATAAACATTTTTCTACCTAAGCTCTGTTAAAAAGATGGATGGCTTGATTTTAATGTTAGAAATTACTTTTTCTTAGAAAAAAAAGTCTAAATATTTTTTAGCTCAATAATATTTAAACACAGATCTACCTGAGTTTTTCAAGTTAATCTCAAACACTAAAATATCAGATGTCCCACATTATTTATTCACACTATGAAAGCAACTATTCTACAAGTTTATATGCATAAGGCACTTAGGGTATGATAAAACAGTCTTAAGGTCATTTCTATAACATTGTTTCTATGGCATGTGTTCAAACTTAAAATAAAAGCCCAAATTTTTACTAAAAGTTGTGCTTTTAGTAAAATAAATAAAGAAACCAAGGCCTTTACATTTTTAAAATTTCTGTCATTGGAAAGGTTTGAAAAACTGATACTATTAGCAATTCTCAAAGTGCAATCTTCAATACAATACAATTCCCCATATTACAGAAGAAAACTTACAGAACTCTTAAGTGTCTAAGGCCCACAAAATCTGTCTTCGTAATCCGTGTGATGTTATTTCCATTCAAATCCCTAAGAGACAACCAGAAAATGAAAGCTCCATTTTATTTCTATTAACTTAGTTAAGCAAAGTTAAATTTAAAGTAGGTTTGAACTTTTAAGCCTAAAAATTAAATTAATTAGTGTATGGTTTAGAAAACAAATGGGAGAGAGAAGGGGACAACCACAACCTTTGAAATAATATTGCATAAATGCTCAAGTTTACAAAGTTCATCCTGGCTGGCCCATGATGACAAGAAAATGAAGTAATTGTATTATCATGAAAATTGTTCTTTTGGTGTGTGTGTGTGTGTGTGTATGGTGTGCTTTTGATTTTTGCTTTTATAAGGATCTGTGTATCAAATTCACAGGTATTCTGTTATTTTCCTATTACTGGAGTTCCCCTCAGAAAGTTAAAGAAATTATTTTCTCATACTATTCAAGAACAAAGTTTTAAAAGCTAGAAAGAACACTATCCTTATGGGAGCATGGTGGCTAAACTTCCTAAGGTAAAGAAGAAAGTTAGAGGGCCATCAAAAGAAATGCACTTCAAAGACCTGCATTTACTTTCCAACAATTCTATGTTTGTATGAAAACTAAACTCTTCATTTGCAGCTCAGGGAACCCCGCTGTGATTGTAAAGGGAAAACTACTAGCGGGGGCAATAATGGAAGTGGTATTCAGGCCCTAACATTTTTGTTCAGATTTCAGCACCACTTTTCCTTCAAGAGTCACAACCCCCTCTTTTTCTTTTCTGGCATCTCAGGTCAAGATCTAAACTTGCCCTGCCTCCAATCATTTCAGGTAAAACCAGCTTTTGCTGAGATTCGAATGTTCTCCTGCAAGGTCCTAAATTCTCTCTTACTTTAGTCCTAAAAACTTCATGTTTGAAATATGTATTTTAAGTTTTTACTTTGTCAATGATAGAATTTTATAAGACAACACTGACTATACTATTTTCTGAAACCTCTTTAAAAATCCCCTTACAGGGATTTTTTATTTTCCCAAGGATCCAAAACCCAATTGTCATTTTTCCCCCCGAGTAATGCCCTTTTGGTTGAGTAAGAAGACACGTTAGTGCTTACACTATAAACTAATTGGAACAGCATGAAATGACAAGTACAAAAACAGAATTCTGCATTACTTTCCTTCCTTGTTTGCCTATTTCTATACGCTGAGCAAAGTCTCATTAAGTTGTTCGGAAAATCATCGGGGTCGTTTATTGGGTATTCAATATAACACGGAATCCCTACCTCCCACCCGAGGCAAATGTCGGGGATCACATCTTGATGAGGCAACCCTGGTAAGGCCCAACTTGCGCAGCACTAAGGGTTTGGGGTGAATGAAGAAAAAGAGTAGGGGGCAACCCAGTGAGGCTGGGGGACAGATGAGCCTTTCCAAAAGAAGAAAGGGCTCAACTTGGCCTTTAAAGCAGAGGCCAGAGAGATGGATTAGATAAGAAGGGCGACTCAAGGCGCTGCAGACTGCACTGGCGCAGAAGTGCGAATCTGAGGGCGTCCTCTCCGCAGTTCATGGCCCTCAGACCCAGAGGGAAAGAGGCCACGGGAGCGGAGTCCCAGCGCACTGGTCCCCATCGCCCTCACCCGCCCGGCCCACGCGCCATCGTGAGAACACTAGCGCGCCTAGGGCGCTCGGGCGACTGGGGCGGCGGCTCGGCATTCACAAAGAGAATGGCCTCCATGCTCCGCTTCCCTGAACTCGGGAAGCGCCCCACCAGGAGCGCGTGGGCCGTCAACGCCAGGACTGCGTTTACTTCTTCATTAGAGACCAGCAGAGGCAGGGAGGCGGGGATGTCTGTGGGCACCGGAGCGCGAAGAGGGGCAGAAAGAGGAGCTGCTGCCACGTGAAGGGACGCAGAAACTGCCAGAAAGGTGGACAGGGGGACAGGGGCTCAGCAGGAAGAGCCGGAGGGGGCGGCTCCGAGGCCCGCCGGGTCGCCTAAGCAGTCTGATCTATCTGCGCTGGTTCAGGTTTGGAGAACCAGTACACTAACTTCACTTAAACCTTGGGACGCCGGTCTCCGCTGCAGTCGCCAGCTTGGAAGAGTCCAGCTTGGAAGAGTCCCTTGGGGCCCGCTACCTCCGCATCCTCTGGGCAGAAGTAGAGGGCAGGGGCGGGGTGGGGGGGAGTAGCAGGGGGCTGCGCACCGCCACTAAGCCAGCTGTGGCCCTACTGGGGCACCCTTCCTGCCTGATAGTAATATCCCAGGACACCCCATGACTCTTTCTCCCCTCCCTTCTTTCCCGGGAGGGGAACACAAAGACAGGGAGCCTAAGTTTCTCTCTTTGAACCCCCTGCCATCTCCTCCACGCCAACCGGGGGGGGGGCAAGGGCGGGGACTCATCCTAAAACCGACCTAAGAATGTTTGCAACAGCAAGGTGACTCTTTATAAGGAATCTGAAAACAAAGTCGTGTCTCCTAGCCTGGGGCATCTTCTCATCCTTGTTCCCTAGCTCCCATCTGCACAGCCCCGAACAACTCGTCCACAAGAGGCTGCTAGTGGCAGTGGCGGGACAAGAGCAGGGAAAAGGGACCAAACGCAGCTGCCAGCGGACCCGCCCCTCCCTGGGCAGTGACCCTTTCCTGGGCTGTGCCTTCCAGTACTTGGCCCTCCAGGCGGGCCCAACCCAGGATGAGCGATCTGGAGAGCCAGTGAGGCTTCACCAGGCACAAGTCCCAGGTCCCTGTATTGCTGGGTCACTTCAGGTTCCCAGCAAAGCGTGCGCTACCGCGATGGGGAGAAGGGGAGGGCGAAGAACCCATACTCACAGTCTCTCTGTGTTGCGGGGTATATTCCTGGGCACACTGCGCAGTGCCAACCCGTGACAGTCCACAGTGCTGCCCGAGCAGGAGCACTGCGCCGGGCACGCCTGCGGCGCCACCTTGTTCAGGACCGCCAACACTAACCCCAGCGACAGGGACAGCGTCTGCCAGCCAGTGCCGCGCATCTTCCCCCGCCGCCTCCTGGCTTGCCGGCGTTGGGGATTTCTCTTTAGCTCGCTGCTCCGACGGAACGGTGCAGTGTCTGAGGCCCAGTGCTTGGCGCGGGATTAGCAACCCAGAGTGCCCGGGGAAATGTGCACAAAATAATATGGAACAGTAATAATTAATATTCAAGGCAGGAGAGCCGGAACAGGCTCACGCCTTCCCCTTCCCTCTACACCCTTTTGTAGCAGGGCAGGAACTCCGTGGGCAACTTTCGAACCTGAAGATCAATGGCCTGGCCAAGGCTGCAAGGAGACCCCAAGAGCAGTGGGGGAGGAAATCACACGTTTTCTGTCGCTGAAGAAACCACTTGGCGGTAAAAGAGCTGAGACTTCCTAGGACTGTGAAGATGCAAAGGACGGCTGCCAGGGGGTAGAGTGAGATGATACTCAGATCCCACACACTGCTCTACAATTTCGATTCCAGTGGGGCTAGGAGAAGTGCGAGGAGGAAGAGGGGCGCTCAGTAGTAATGGTGGTCTTGATCAAAGTGGACTCCTTGAAGCTAGAAGGCGCAGAAGCCCTTCGGGCCCGGAGCGGAGCGCGCCGAGCAACTGGGCATGGCGCGCGGGGGCGCACCGGGCGTTTGTGCAGCCCAGGGGACTGGGGGCGGCGCTGCAGGGTGCAGGGCTCGGTTCACTCCCGCGGCCTCTCCCCAGCCTGCTGCTCAGCGGTAGCCCCTACCGGTCCTCGCAATCTCCCGACAGCCAAGGATGGTTTGCAAACACACATGTACTTTGCTGAAGGATGTCTCCTCGGCAATCCCGCCTCCCGCCCGGCGTCCTTGGCGACGCTCTGCACCAGGGCCTGCCCTGAGGTCACACAGAAAGACAAAAGGGCAGTAGGACCGCTGCAGCGGGACAGGAATATCCACTAGTCAAAATCTCAGCAAAGGAAATCCAAGAAGCCAAGTTTAGCACTAGAGCTCCAGAGAAGGCGAAACAGGCACTGACTAGCGCAGGACTTGCAAGAAGGCAGGCCGGAAGGAGGGGAAAGGCAAAGGCCAAGGTGTTCACGACCCGGGCCCTGCTAGTTTGTCTGGAGGACAGCTAGGTGGCCAGCGGGAGGGTGGGATCCGCTACTCCAGGTAGAGCCCAGGCGATAGCTGAATGGCAATGTGTGTGCGCGCGCGTGTCAGCCCCTCTCGTCTCCCGGATACGCTGCAGCTCCGTGGCAGACACCTGATGGCAAAGGTGGAAGAAACAACAGCCAGCTCCAAGCGGGCGCAGCTTCTCTCTCGCCCCTTGGCAGCCTCCCACAAGTGGGTTCTCCTTCTCAAAGTGCAGGAACTTTTCCCAGGTTTGGGATACCGTCTCCCACCTCCACAGTAGCAGTCCTCTCGCCGACGTTGGAGACACCACCCGGCTCCAGATGCGGCACCTGACTCGGCGGCTACAGTCCAGGGCAGTCCTTCCTTCCTGCCTCCTGCCCTCTCCCGGCTGCTTTCTCTGCCTCCCGCTCCCTGGAGGGAGGTGAGGGAGAGGAAAGGCGGCGACAGAGAGCGGGGTCTGCCGCTCTGGAGCCCCTGGCAAGTGTCTAAACAATAGGACAGACGCAGCAGCCTAAGTCTCGCTGAGCTGCTGAAAGGTGGGTTGTTGTTGTTACGAGTAGTTCGCTCCTGCTGCCAGGCGCTGAGCGCCGCTGAACAAAAACCCAGCCCGCGCCTCAGGAGCCGGCTGCCGGTCCCCGGACGCTCCCCTTTCTCTTCAGCACTCCCGCCGTGCCTGGAAAGCTCCGCAGCTCTGGCCTGCGCTTGGGAGCCTCGGCGCTCCCATCACTCGCTGCCGCCGCCTCCTCCTTTTTTTAACCACCTTCTGCCGCAGCCACAGTCACCACCAACCTCCGCCGTCCAGGCGCTTCCCAAATAAATAACCTCAAGTCAGAAGTTAGGCTGGCGCGGGCCTTATATAGCCGCCTGAGCCCCCACCCCTTTGGCCCCGCCCCGCGAGGTCCGGCCCCGCCCACTGGCTGCGCGCTGGGAGCCCGCACCTCGCAGGGGAGAGGTGAGGCCCCGGCTGCCAGCGCCAGGCGGAGGCGGCGGCGGCGGGCGGGCGCGTTCCCGTGCGTCCTGGCTCGCGCCCTAGCTCCCACGCTTGGGCAAAGTTTGCGGTGGGAAGGAGGCTCCAGGGCCCCCGCCTCCAACTCTTTGGCCCCAGAGATGACCTGGGTTTGGAGATAGTGGTTCTCAGCAGGAGAATGGGGAGAGGGCGGTTTTGAACGCGGCTCATAAATAAACAGCGTTGCCAGTGCCTCTGCTGCAGCTTTTGCCACGCGATCCTAAGGGGGGGGGGGGGGGCTGCTCAGTGCTTGCAACACAGCAAAGGAAAGACAGAGATTGAGATTTAATTTTTTTTTTTTTAAATTAAATCCTACCGAAATAGATCTGCCTGCGCTCACAGACACACACATGTGTATTTTTGGGAGCTTAAAAGTTCAGTTTTTGCAAGTTGGAAAACGATGTTTTGCAACCCTCTTCTTTACATTCCCATTTCCAAGCCACCCCCTTCCATTTAACCCTTTCTTTATAGTCACACACAACAACAGGAGATTCAATTGACATCTTGAATACATAAAACGCTCCCCAAACTCCAAGGGCTTGAATGTGCCTGTTATGATTTTACTCTCTTAGGAGGCAAAGGAGGGTAAAAAATAAATCCTTAGCAACATAGATTGTACCAGAAGGTTTCTTTTATTTCAGGGGAGTTCTAGATATTTTTTTCCAAACTGTTTGAAAGAGAATTCCCTTGTTTCTTCTTTAGTGTGATGTGTGTCTGGCAACAGATAACTCTCTCCAGCTTCCCCAGGAAAAAAAAAAAAAACACAATGTCACCATAGGTTTCAAATGTCCTCTAAATGAGTCAGCTCCTTCACTTGAATTTAAAATGTATCATCTCATTCTTTCTCTTACTCTCATTCCACCTTTGAAATGCTTTCACAGAAATCTGTGCATGCCTCCAGGTAAATGGCAACTTTACAGTATAGTGATTATTTGTATAATCATCTGTTATTCCCTTGAAAGCTGAAAGACCTGCTGGCTCACTTGGGATTTTTAGCATATAGCAATATGTCTAGCACATAGTAGGTATTCTGATAATTAACTATTTTTTTAACCCAAGAACATATTCAACCTGAAATCTCTCTAATATCCTCATTAATTTTTTTTCTATTTAAATATTACAAAATATCATAAAGTTACCTCTACCTATATCATTTGCTGGCCCTGGAAAACTCAGTCTCTTTGAACATGGTTCCAAAGACAGGGTGCCCATTCAAAAACTGAATTGGAACTCATGATTACTCGTTTGAATGCCATTGATTTATATTGCTGCATTCTGTTAAAGACTTCAAAACATTTAACATTTATTAACTTACTTGTCCTTCTAGATTTTAGCCCAAAGGTCTGTTATGTAACTTCCTTGTGAGAGAGGAGAAGCCACAGTCACATTTCTTGCAAGGAAATGGAGATTCAGAACAAGTACCTGTCGTTGAGTATCTTCCCCCCAGTGAATGTTCTATAGTCTGTACCAGTAAATTATGTGGTTAAGATGCATTTACTGATACACTAATTCATTTAATTTCACAGCTTTAATATCTCATTGGCAATGAGATGTATTTGTGTTCAACTTTAACAGCCACATAGAATCATGTTCTGCAGCATTTTAATCACAAGAACAGATCCTGCATTCCAAATATTCATAAATGTTATTGATATTATTGCATAAGTGAGACACTTAGATATGAGCTCAAGTTTGATTCTCTCTCTGGATCACTTTACACTCTGTATATTTAAAAAAAAAAAAAAAACAAACAAACAACAAGGAGATGAAAGTAACATTCACAGTAATATGCCCATAGAAACATCTTTACTAGTTGATGCAAATTTATATAAGAAGATATGTCCAATGAATTTAATCAAAAAGAGAATGTAACAAATTCCTGAGAGGTATGGTGCATGAATGTTTTTGTGTCATCAGCTTTTCAGTTAATAAAAGGAACTTACACATGAGTGACCAGGTTTCTCATTTTTTAAAATGTTACTGTATTATTCCTTCAGTATTACTGCAGGATGTTTGTTGGAGGCCTTGTATGCTTCGATAATTTTAACTTCTAGGTCTTAATTCTTTCTCCATTATTATGCTCCCAAATGAGTTCTGAGTTTCCCTTTGACTATTACAGCCATCTCTGAAGAAAGCCTTATGTGGTGCCTCTTGTCACCACATGAGGTCTCTATAAATCCTGACCTGGATTAAATAGAAGTGGAATCCACTACAGTCAACATTCAAATTAGCTGGAGGGGGAAAAAAATCCAGTAGCCAGAATAATTTTAGAAACTATTTAGACACTTAAAACTCACATAGTGAAAAAAAAATTCCACCCCACTTTTTGGCAGGGGGGTGGGAAGAAAAAGATAGTAAATTGGGAAATATGGGAAAAGAGAGTAAGGGAAAAAATTGGTGAAAAAGAGGTAAATATGAGTGAAAATTATAGCTGTCTCTTTGTTTAAGCAAAGGTAGAAAATACTAAGAGTATTGATTAATTTCATGAAATTCACACAATAATTCTTAACTGTCTTTGTGCTACCATTTTCATCATTGCAAAATGTACTTAATTATCTAATTTTTCTCAACATATTTCTTTGGTAATGTAGACATTATCACAGAGATTAAGATTAAACTAAAAAATTTGGGGGCCTACTAAGTACCAAACCATTTGATAGAGTTAGAGCCACAGTACATTCTGGATGGTTGCTGTTTTACTCCCATCCAGGAAAGGATCTGGGTATGCACCCAAGGCACAGCTGATTAAATAGCAGAGCTGTAAACAGAACCTACTTTCTTTGGCCCCCAAACTCAATAAGTTCTCCTTCACTGAAATGTGTCTGTAAATTCCCTGAAATTCTTGGGGGTCAAGGAATCCTATAGAAAATGTACATGACTCTGTGACACCTGTTTAAGAGAGCAGTGCAGAGCTTAATCTCACAGCACCAGCTCTCCAAGGGTACTGAAACCCAACCTGGTTCTGCAGAGAACTTCAGCTGGGAGAGTATTGTCTAGGTCAGTGGTTCTCAAAGTTTGGTCCCTTGACCAGCGGCCTTAGGCAGGGGCTGTAACTGGAAATGCAAATTGTTAGTCTCTTCCTCAGACTCACAGAATCAGAAATACTGGCAATGGAGGACAGAAGTCTGTGTTCTAACAACCCCTCCAAGTTGTTTTAATGGTGCATGGAGTTTGAGAACACCTGATCAAGAGCAACTCTGTGATTGTAAATGGGCCACTTGAAGCATGGGGAATGAAGAAGCAATGAATGAGCATCAGTAGAGTGGGTTTCCACTTCTCATTTCACAGCTTGATAAGTGCACATTCCTGATAACCTCTAGGGGGCACCAAAATGTTTTCATGTACAACCCCACAGAGGTAACAAGAAGGTAGTCATTTTCAAGGAAATAGCCTTCAAAAGTAGAGATTTCTAGCAACTTGTCCTAGTTAGTATGCCTCAACCAAAGATTTATTATACTTATAGACTTTTCCCCCAGTTTAATACTATTTATAATGGAAATGATTCCTGCTTTTCATAAGTATTATGAAGATTAAGATAATATCCACTGATCTACCAGAGTTGGGTGCTTATTAAGTAACAGGTTTTACAGCCAGGCACAGTGGCACATTCCTATAATCCCAGTGACTTGGGAGGCTGGGGCAGGAGAATAGAAAGTTTTAGGCCAGATTCAGCAACTTAATAAGGCCCTAAAGATCTCAGTGAGACCTTGTTTTAAAATAAATAAAGCCAGGGATGTAGCTCAATGGTGAAGTGCCCCCTGAGTTCAATCCCCAGTACTAAAATAAATAAGTAAATAAATAAATAATAGTATTATTTTGTGATTCCTATTACTATTGTATTGATAAGTGAATTTTTTCCTAAATATTTCCCTGAATATTTTCTTACAAGAATAGATTATATATTTCCATTAAATATCACTGTGATCTTAGAGTAACTATTTTTTGTAAAGAATTCAGGGAAGTTGGGCTGACAGTTATACTTTTAGGATTAGAAGAACAACTCAATATGATCAAGCCCTGCACAGGCCCAGAGTTCCAGGAACAAAAGGGTGGAGATGGATGTACCTAGTTTTATGATATTTGTGTCTCACAATATAAACCACTCTTTTGAAGGAGTGAAATTGGTTCCCCACTCTCATAATAGAATAGTTTGTTGGTTGTGCAGTTAAATTAAAATGAAAGCTCTGAATATTGATCTCTGGTAAGTGGGGATGCTTGTGTAGCTATGGATGTACCACCTAGATTTTAGGGTGTTTTTATGTGTTTAACTTTAGTTTTTTTATGTGTTTAATTTTAGTTTTTTTATGTGTTTAACGTTGGCATTAAACACCTTGTGTATATGTTATTTAACACTGACAAAAATCCCTTCTAAGAGACTATTTTTATTCCCCATTTATAGTGGAGAATACTGAGACTCACATGAGTTCACTCAGTTGGCCATGCTTATACAGTTAGAAAGCAGCAAAGAAGGAACCAGAATTCCAGTCGGCCTCCAAACTCCATTTAACAAACAATGTAATACACTGCCTCTCAAATTCTGACTCAAGTGTACTGTGCAATGACTTATTCTATATGTAAAGAAAAAAATGTATGGGGAAGAGATGATGAAGTAGCTTAAAGTGACATTTGGATATTAAATATGTAAGTTACTTGAAGAAAAAGAACATGGCAATAATAGAAAAAAAATATAAAGGAAAATATAAAGCAAAAGATTGTTAACATTCAATGATGCAGGTTGAAAAAAACACATTAACATTTAAAAGCCCAAGGGAAAACACACAGCAAAAATTTTAATAGTTACATTAGCTTAAAGTGAATTTTCA